GGCACCGGAAGTTGATGCTTGATGACGATGAACTTTCGCTATTCTTCTACTTTCCAGAACCTCGTCACTAGCTTTTTTGAAACCTTTTGTTTCTGATTCAAAGGTTTCATCATTATCAAGATCAGGATTATCTCAAGATAGTTGCACTCCGACAGCCCTCTTTTTTGAAGGTTGAAAATTGTTTTCCTCATCCCCCATTGTAGATTAACAAAACAAACTTGAAGGAAAATTTGCTTCCTCCACAAGTTGGAAGAAAGTGATCTCTTCAGTTAAAAATATATGACAAAAATCACAAACTAAAAGGACATTATAAATGGAATCAACTGTTGCTTCTTGACCAAACAAATGCTAGGAAAGACATTCTAGGATATGAAGCAAATACTTTTGAAGGAGACAAACTATAATGTGAAACTACATGATCCAGATAATCAATTAGCACTCGCTCACAGACATAAACAAGTGAAACTAATCATTAAGTTTGGCAATTGTTAATTCATTACATAAAGTATCCAAAGATCATGCGACAAGCAAAAGAAACACTCACATTTGTAAATCAAACTCAAAAATGGGGGAACAAGGAAAAAAAGAAAGAAAAAAGAAAGAAAAAACGGAGGAAAAAAAAAAAGAAAAAGAAAAGAGAGAGAACAATGTGTAAGAGTAACATCAATGTTTGCTTGTTCTTTATAAGTTACAATGCAATATTATTTAAAAGTTAAAACCGAGAAACCAAACCAAACCGAACCGAAATGGTTTGGGTTGGTTCGGTTTAAGAATTAGAGTGGGTTGGTTTTGATTTTAATTTCACTCAAACCGACTACTTTGGTTTGGTTTTGGGTTTAGGTCAAAATCAATCCAAACCAAACCACGTCCAGGCCTAATTTTATCAAAAAAGACACGTCAACATTTATTTACGTTTAAAAAAAAGGTTGCAATCTAGGTTACAAAGTCATAAATAGATGTTGCTTATTGACTTTTAACAAACTTGTGAGAATTTTATTTAAAAACACGGACGGATCCAGGATTGGATTCAAGATCGGGTTACAAAATTTCAAACCGGGTTACTACTTGAAAAAAAAAATTTACACATAAAAAACTAATTTTTTACCAAAAAAAATAAAAAATACCTTAAAAAAAAAGGTCTTGAGCCTGAGCGAGGGGGGCTACAGCCCAGCCCACCCCCACTCCCCCTCAATCCGTCTCTGTTTAAAAACCTTGTAGCAAAATGAATTTCAAAAGTTGAAAATTAAATTCTTTGTAACTTAAGTCTTGAAACATATTGGAAAGTTCTGGCATGTAAAAAGAATTGTGGAATATGAATTTGGAATAAACCACTTGTACATTCTTTTATTTACATTATGGTTGACACTCCATTGATTTTCAAATTGAAATGAACGGAAAAGTGTGCTTCATTTTAAAACTGTCCACTCATGTTATGACACGTGGCATAATGTAAAAAATAATGTCAAACAAAGTGTACATATAACATGATTGTACAAATTTTTACTACTATTTCATATCAAATTGTAATATAAAATTCATATATTTTACAAAACATATTATTCTTAATACATTTATAGAATATAGGCATACATAAAATTAGGGAATGTTTGATAGCATGGAAATGGGGAAAAAAAAAAGATGGAATTGGAATTGGAAATTCCAACTTTCGGTGTTTGATACTTTATATTTTCCATGGAATTGCATTTCTTGGATTTCTTGAAACTTGGAATTTTCCTTGTTTTGGTGGAATTTGAACCTACTTTAGCGATTTTTTTTTTTTTAATGGAAACCAATTCTAAGAATTATTGTAAAAAAATATTTTCCTTTAATTGGCAATTTGCATGTAAAACAAAGTCAAACGAACATAAAAAACATTTTTATTTCAATATTTTTCACCTGGAAAATTATACCAATCAAACACAATAATTTACAATTCCCAGGAAAATAATTATAGGCAAAACAATTTCCTGGAATTCATTTTCTAAATAATTCAATTCCATCTTTGCAATCATACGGACTCTTATAATAAAAAGCATTTATATAAAATGCTTGCTAATCATTTTCAGAAATCATAACTTTTTTCGAAAGTAATGAAATGTGTCTCACACAATCAAACTTAGTTCTACACATAATTAGTTCCTATCAATAACATATTCCAACATTGAACACATTCTATTGAAATATAGAATTGAACATAGCATAAGATACAATTTGATTGATATGTAAGATAGCATGCAGTAATATGTAAAATCTATGTTGTAATGTAGAAATAAAAAACATGTCTTTTAAAATAAAATGTAACATGATCATTAAAATACTTTGTAACACAATAGTAATATTGCAATTATTTTATTTTATTTTATTTTATTTTCAGAATTCAACATAGTATTCATTAAACAACATGTTATACATGAAAATATATACATTGCGTAAAACATTAAACTCGAAAATTAAATTTTTTTAATTGAACCAAACAGGGAAATAATTGAATTGCGTCGAAAGTGTTTAATGACCATTTGACCATTCAAAAAATCACAAAATTGATACCATTTAGTCCTACATCAAAATTCATAATTTGACGTCTAAAAGTCCAAACACTCGGAAATTTTTCAAACGGAACTAAATATTTGCTTTGGCTGATTTTGAATTGCGTAAACAATATTCAGCAATAGAAACTTCAATTCATAATATTTTCTTGGATAATTGGTACAAAACGTCCCTACCTTTCAAGTGTATTGTGGAAAATATCCCTACCTTTCATTTTTGGCACAAAACGTACAGACATTTCACTTTCTTGGCGCTGAACGTCCTTTTTATCAATTTTTGACGATTTTACTCCCCATTCAAATAAAACAAAAAGAAAAGAAAGGAAAAAAACAAAAAAATAATTGCAATTACATTCCCAAATTTTCTAAAAATTGCAAATGGTAACTTGATAATTACAATATTAAATAAATTGAAAAAAAAAATAAAAAAAATTAAGAAAAAAAATTTTAAAAATGGGTTGTCTTCTTCACGACACCCTCACCCCACCCCACCCCACCCCACCATACAAAATCTATCTGCACAGCAAATCCTCCAAATTCGAAGCCCCGTTACATCTATTTGCACAATGGGGTTTGATACTTGAAGGTTGTTAATAGCTTACTTTTTCGCTATTTATCTTCTATTATTGTTATTTTTCAGTTTTGATGATTTCTGTGGGTAGTATAGATGGGGGGAATTTGTCAGGTTTAGGGTTAGAAATGGAAAAAAACGAACTTGAAGAAGGAGAGGTTGGCTGTTTTCAGAATGATGGTGACGATTCCACCATTAACCCTAATATTGCACTCTCTTACATTGTAAGTTCATTTTATTTTTTTAATCTTTCTTTGTAATTCAATTTTTCAATTTTCTAAAGCTGCATATAGTCTGATTTATAAATTATATCATGTTCAGTTATGCAGAGAGATGTAATGTGGCTTCGGATTTGGAGGATTTGCTGCGCAAAGAGATTTTGTATGGTGGGGGTGGGGGAAAAAGAAGATGAATTTCATATCCAGTATCAAATCTCATTGTGCAGAGATATGTAATGGGGTTTCGGATTTGGAGGATTTGCTGTGCAGAGAGATTTTGTATGGTGAGGTGGGGTGCATGGGGTGAAGAAGACAACCCTTTTTTTTAATTTTTTTCTTAATTTTTTGATTTTTTTTTTCAATTTATTTAATATGGTAATTATCAAGTTACCATTTGCAATTTTTAGAAAATTTGAGAATGTGATTGCAATTAATTTTTTGTTTTTTTTTCCTTTCTTTTCTTTTTGTTTTATTTGAATGGAGGGTAAAATAGTCAAAAATTGATGAAAAGGACGTTCAGTGCCAAGAAAGTGGACGGTAGGTACGTTTTGTGCCAAAAAATAAAAGGTAGAGATGTTTTCTACAATACATTTGAAAGGTAGGGACGTTTTGTGCCAATTACCCTATTTTCTTCAAACTGCAACTTAGTCCTTAATTTGTGTTTGCATAATTGCAAATTGATCCTAAAACTTACCAAAATTACATAAATGGGTCTAAATCTCTTATAATTATCATCCCGAAATATAAACTTGAAATTCTTGAACATGTAACTTTTCCAACATTTCAGTTAGGTCCCCAACCTTTTTTAATATAGAAATTGAAGTCCTAAAGTGATTCTTTAATTACATCTTGTAATCCCAAAATTTTCTTTTGGTCCCTCAAGAGTTGAAAGATCCAATTCGATTTATCAAGTTCTCAACCTTTATATTTTAAATCACTCATAATGAGTCGAGGTATTAGAGTTTCATCTAGACTTTATCATGAATAGGTTATCTAAGTTTGTCTATTCAAGCAATTTTTTGGTTCGAATAAACATACAATCCTTGAAACTAAGTCGAACCATTGAAATTATTATCAATCACTACAAAACGACATAAACTCACCGACATAACAAATCAATATTTATTATTTTATGACTTTGAACAACTTTAGTAACAAATAGCTTGACAAATTTAAAGGGATAGAACAATGCAGTATTTATTATTTTACAACGATTATTACGCTTTACTAACAAATTGAGCTCCCGACAAAAATATTATGTGTATTATATTACGATGGAATGCTTTGACAATGACACTAGCCGATATTGTGGTAATTGAGCGTAAATGGTGATTTTAAAAGTTGAAAACTAAAAGTGAGGAGGCGCCGAAAGTGTGAGACAAAATGTACAAAAATTTCCTTTAAATGTCGATAAGTAATTTTGTAGGGGGCAATAGTTAGATATTTACAATAGTTAGAATCCAATTGTGCAATTTTCCCAATTTAAGAAAACGTCGACGTAGTTTGTCTTTGATCATTTGTGGTTGTCTTTATCTCTTTGATTTGATAGTCTAAAAATACCGACGGCCAGATTTACTTTTGAATGTTAGTCCTTATCCCTATTCAACGCTCCAGATCATCCCATGTTGTTCAAATCAATCCTTTATCCAAAATATATATTTCCACTTCAATCCTTTCTGTCTATATCCTGTTCCTTTTCTTCTCTCTAAACTGTTTCAGGCGTTTCCCATCGAAATCGTTGTCCGGAATACTTTTTCTCTATGTGTTTTTAAGATATATATAGGTTTTGAGTGTAGAAATGGGGAATGCGAACGGAAGAGAAGGTGTTGACGGCGCAGCGTCGGAAAATTCCAACCATGCTCCGACGTCACGTGTTGGTTCGGCTGATTTAATGGCGAGTTCTCCACCTCCCAACCGCCGCCAATCTGGCTCTCCTCTCTTGTTTACTCCTCAGGTCCCTCTTTCTATTTGCGTTTGTATATTATGCATATTTTTGTAAATGACCAATAAAGAGATCAAAGAGCAAGGTACGCATTTTGAGGAGTAGAATTAGATTACCGTCTCCTATTGCTGTAATGTGTGAAAAAGGCTGGGTGCTTTTGGAATGGTTTAAATTGGAATTTTGATCAACATAAGACATGATATATGGGAATAACAGTTACAGATTGCAATGCTGTGGTAGAATTTTTGTATAATTTTTGATTTCTTATGGAAAATTGAAATTTCGAATTAACCAAGGAGCTGCATCTGTTGTGGGGTTGCTTATTTTCTACTGGGGCTGGGGGTGTTCCGCTCACACTCGCGTCTCTATGGTTTACGACCTTGCAATCTGACAAAATTCGTATACTATCTCTATGCAAAGGGTTGTTTTTGCTGCTGGGGTTGCCAATTGTCTTTTATAACTGTGATTATTAACATCACGATGAGAATTTATTAGTTTACATTTCTTTGTTTTCTCTGTTCAAAGCTGCATTTTGATGGGTCGTTTTACACTATCGATGTTTTCATCTTATCAGATTCCAGCTGTTCCTTTGCAGAGAGGTGATGGCCCTCTTTATCTCAATCAACTGCGGCAGAATGAATCTAGGGGAGCTGCTGATCACCCCCTTGAACAAGGTGTACCTACTTTGATAACTTGGAGCTATGGTGGTAACAATGTGGCAGTGGAAGGATCTTGGGACAATTGGAGTATAAGGTGATTATTTTGTCGAATTCCAACTATATTTTCTTGGTTTTGTGTGTATGAGTGTTTTTTTGGCTACATTTACTAGAAGAAGGGAAATATTCAAATCTGTCTATTAATCACAAAGAACTGATTTTTAACTTCTAAATATATGAAGTATATGCTCGCAGAAAGATACTCCAAAGATCCGGTAAGGATCACTCAATTCTCGTGGTCCTCCCATCGGGCATATATCATTACAAGTTCATTGTGGATGGAAAATTTAGATATTCTCCAGATCTTCCATGTGAAGCAGATCAGTCGGGCTCTATCTGTAATATCCTTGATGTCCATGTAAGTTAATAGTTCACCTTTTGCATTGTTTTTTATTTTTTATTTCTTCTCTTTATAGTTGGGTTGAGATGCGCAGATCGATATTAACAGAAGAATGACCTAATGATACTTCTTGAATGTTTCAAATGGTCAATAATTGCACTAACTTCCTGGATGAAAAACATATGTTCTCATTCTTTTTTCATTGTTATGGCATCTGTTTCAACATTGCCTTTTATGGCAGTTAATTACTCAAATTGGTTAGACTATTGTCTTAGATGTGAAGTGAATAATTAAATTTGGATTCCATCCGCTCCCGTTAATACTCCAATTTCTGAGCAACTTATACGGAGAATTCACTTTTCTGAATCTCAGTTCAATTTATGCATTCTTTTGTATAAACAAATGCTGATACCTCAATTGTTTTTATGCTGCAAACAATGGCATCGAGATTTTTGTTGTGTTACTCATATACAGTTTCAACCTTGTGTGCAACTTAGCTAGATATCTATCTGCATTGATGCAAACACAAAGGTTCACTCATATATAATTGTACTTTTCTTCATCTTTTCCCTCAGTCCAAATCTTTTGATTCTTCAATTTTTGCTGCTTATCTTTATTGGGGTGGGTTGTGTAGAATTTTGAGCGATCAGTTGCTTACGTATAGGTGATTACTGTTAGAAAGAGAGATATTAGGTGCCGTATAAATTTCAACGTCAGAGTAATGGGAAGAAACATCCATTCGATGCATTTGCATTAATGTAGGTTAATTTGAACTTGTAATTAAATGCTTGCTCATGTAACATGTCTCATTTTTCCGTTTTCCTGCTAAAGGTGAGTCGCATTCTTTTTCTTAATAAACTTTTAATCGTTTGCTGTTTCAACAGGAGTATGTTCCAGAAAACCTTGATAGTGTAGCCGAGTTCGAGGCTCCCCAATCACCAGAGTCGAGCTATAGTCAAACTTTCCCAGGAGACGAAGATTTTGCGAAGGATCCCATGGCAGTTCCACCTCAACTCCATTTATCCGTTCTCGACGCTGAAAACTCAGATGAAACTGCTTCTTCTTCAACACCCCAACACGTGGTGCTCAACCACCTCTTTATAGAGAAAGGATGGTCGTCTCAGTCCATGGTTGCTCTTGGTATGACTCACAGGTACCAGTCTAAGTATGTAACAGTCGTCCTATATAAGCCACTCAAGAGGTGAACCTCCTATGAATGTGATAAACTTTTGTTTCAACATTTCTTCCTTGACATGGCACTTCTACTGATGGAAGTGCTCGACAATCTTTTTGTGTATAAATTCCAAGCATTTTGGTTCAAGTATAATAGTTTGTGGTTATCTCATTTTCAGTTTATCCTAAGCTTGGCTGAAACTTTCAATATGTAAATGGAAATTTTTTCTTGCTCATAGAACTGAAGAAAATTATGCTAACGGTTGAGACTGTATCTCAAATATTTATTGTAGAAGGAAAGGAAACGTTGAATTATGGCTATGAGTCCAGCCTTACAACTCCTGCTGAGAAAACTCAAATTCAGTTTCTTGAGTTGAACTGAAAGAAAGAAGGTGAATTTATAGCAGCGAACATTCTCTAATCTTCTGTCTTCTCTTGCCACTGAAGGTCTTAGAATTCCCCTCCCGTCTCTTCGACTCAATCCTTTTTTTATGCTTTCTGCAATTCAAAATAATTTTGATGTGTTAGTTTTTAAAAAATTGAATGTGTTACGGCCGCTTCAGTATAGCTTCTGCTTTTGCTTTTAAGCTATATGCATTTTGTAGGAGGGCTGAGGAAGTCCTTTGAGTTTGTTTTCTTATAAGAGAAAGTAACTAAACAAAGACGAACACAAAAATTTGTAAAGTGATGTTTTACCATTTGCTAGGCAATTTGTGGTGTTAGTAAATCTCAACACCCATAAAAAGAAAGACTAAATTTTAATTATTACTTTTCTATACATATAAAGAATGGAATGCCCTATCTACGAGGGATGACTCAAAGAACAGAAAAAACTTTTGATAATGAAACAATTTATGGTATTGTATTTTGGTGCAGCTTCTGCTACAAGTGTGACATCCAAACTAGCTTAGCTATTTCAGAATTGACAAAGCCATCTCTTCCAATGGCACCTTACTCCATTTACTTTTCCTTTTGCGACTAGACAACGAGTTTTTCTCCTCCTGTATTAAAGACAGGATAAGAAGTTAACCCCTTTTTCTAGATTCTCGTGTTTCCTATTTCCATCCAAGTATATACAAATCTTATCTCCAACTATGGATCTTATATGAAAACTCGAATACCTATCCTACACGAAAGAACTGGTCTAGCCCAGAAATTACTGCAGTTTGTGTTTCTCCTCTTGATTCTCCTATATACTGTTATGGCAGAGAATATATGGAGCTGATATGAAAGTAAAAATGCCCTAGGACCACCACGATATCTTTATGATCGTGTCAAGAACCAGATGCTGATACCAAGCGTTATGAACCTATGCGATAAAGTGGAAATTCCCATGCGAGAATATGATGCATTTACACACGTATATCAGATTCCACTTAACACCGAAAAGACAACCCCTTGTGTGCTTCAACTGGTGGGGAATAAACAATTTCTTTAATCGATTGAAATGCTATTAATATTTGTTCTTCCTAATGCACTTTCTCTAACTGGGAGTGTAAAATATACTTTTCCAGCTAATAAGAAAGAAGAAATTAAGAGTCATGATGATTGGATTTTCAACAACACTGGTCGCTGATAAGATACTAAGTGAAAGTTCTGTGTCAAAGAAACTTGTAGATGTTTAAGAATCCAAAATGTCAAAACAAGAGACAGAGCAAGCAAGCAAGAACCGAGGAATAGCAGTTAAAACAATGCAAACAGGAAAATAAGTAAGCACCCAGAAAAGAAGAGCACGTCCTAACCAGAAACAGAAATCTCATCAAGCTTAATTTCCATGTTTCCACTTTTGGGTCTATTTTAATACTTTTAAAGATTCAGTTTTGGGTTGTTAGGTTCTCACTTGGCCATTATGATCTTGACGAACTCCTCGTAGTTGATTTGCCCATCACGGTCCACATCAGCTTCGCGGATCATCTCATCAACCTCTTCATCAGCGAGCTTCTCACCAAGATTTGTCATGACATTGCGAAGTTCAGCAGCAGAAATGTAGCCATTCTGATCCTTGTCAAAAACTCGGAAAGCTTCCTTGAAAGCCTCCTCAGAATCCTTCTGTTTCCTGGCCATCAAGTTGAGAAATTCTTGTAACTCAATTGTCCCATTTCCATCAGCGTCAACTTCAATGATCATATCCTTGAGCTCGGCCTCAGTTGGATTCTGTTCCAATGTGCGCATCACATTCCCAAGCTCCTTGGTAGTAATGCGACCTGTAGCAGTATTCAGATGAAATTATAACCGAAAATCAATATAGATAACTCAACACCAAGAAGAAACATTTATAAAGTCAAAAGATCTAAACTTCAAATTCCACAAACAATAATTTCAAAACAAAAGAAGAGAAACCCATAAAACAAATAAAACGGAAACAGACTATCAACAAATCGAAAACAAAAAACAACAGCAGATCAAAAGAACAATTCATGTCAAACCCATGAATACATTATAAACATACAAACAACCCAAAGTATACTTTAACGGGGGGCTTACCATTGCCATCTTTATCGAATAGGGTGAAGGCTTCCTTGAACTCGGAAATCTGATCGTCCGTCAGCTGATCAACCATTTTTCTTCTTGCCTTCGATAACTGATGATATTATTATCTCCAATGAATTCATATAGACAGAAATTATTGTGCTTAAATTTATAAAACGTTGCGAGCGAGGAGAATCTGATGCCTTCCCACTTTTCGTGCTTTGCTGAAATTCGCTTCTTGCTTTATTAAAGGAATATGCATTGCTTTTATCTCCTCGTGTACGTATATCATAAGCTTTGTCTTAATTTTCTATTTTGACGATGATTTGTACAAAAAAAATGTCTTATCAACATTTGAATTAATGTAACGGCTGATCTTTTAACACCGAAATGTCTACGTTCGTGATTGCTTTATAAATGCATATTTTCTTACTTTTTTAGAAGTGTTCATATTTTCTATGGTGAAATGGTGGCGATGAAATACGTGTTTGATTCAGATTTACCTTCTTCTCAATTTGAATTGATCGAAAGCAGACCTCATTTGGCTTGAGCAATCGAGAGGTCCATTATAACGATTGCCTACCTAATGACGAATATATATATATATATATATATATATATATATATTCATTTGTAGGGCAATTCTTGGGTGACAAGCACCTGGACGTCCAGGGGCTTGTCACTTTGGCTTTCCCCTCATTTGTATATTGAATGGGATTAACGTTTTATTTGTAGCATTTTTAAATAATCTTACTATCCATACGAAGATTTTTTTTTTCTAAAAAAAATAAAAATTGATCGTTTAGATTCCAAATTTAACGTGTCCATCCCCACCCCCATGTGAGGGGGTGTGGACACTCCTTATGTACAAAAATTATGTACAAGTAAACTTTTCCTTTTCACTTAAAATATTAACCCATATAGGCCCTGAGAATGCCAGGAGGCTAGCTGACCCCTTGTGACGGCCCTAATAAAGGGGTTTAACCTTGGGGATATTGAAGAATGCCCTATGTACAAGGCATTCTTTCATAGGGATTTTGTAGTAGCCGAGAAAAATAAAATGGAATTATACTAATATTTTGTGATAATCTAGCACCACGAGCCTAACCCATTTTAGAAACGACCTATGGAAGCTCAACCCATGTAAGATTACGAAAGCTCAAGTCATAAGTTAATTAAAAGCCCAGTAATTTAAGAGATTAAGTTTAAGTAAAATTGATTACAAAGATTTAATGAATAACTGAGTTGCCACAATAGTCATCTACATAGTATTTCATATAGACAACCCAGGTTCGAATCACCATGTAGATTTTTTTTATAAAACTTTCATATGAATTATTTTATGGTTTAGAGACTCTTCAAATTCTTAGTTAAAGACTAAATTTAATGATAATATAACTCCCCCACTTAATTTTTCATTAAAAATAAAGGTTATAGAAGTGGAATGTCAAGGTTATAGAAGTGGAATGTCACTTTTTCACTACACTCCTCTTCAAATCCGAATTTCATCTCATTTTCTCTCAAAAAAATATATTTCATATCAAGTTAAGTTTAAGGCATAACAAAGGTGAGAAGAAGGAAGACTTTCTATACATTTTGTTCTTTTATCCAATAAAATTCAAGGTAGGTAGAGGTGCAAGTGTTCATTCGTTTTCAAATCTAAATTTTTGATAAATGTTTAAATAAAATGGTACCTTCGAGTACGGTGCTTGGCACTACAACAGTTTGAATGATCATTCTCCGGCTTTACGTGTTATGATAATGCTATAATAATTGGATTTTGCCGGAAATCCATCTACGTGCGACGGTATGAATCTATAGTTCGAAATTTCTAATTCGATAACGAATTGCACCGATGATATCTATTGAGTTTCAAACTCATGGGTTAATTCCCTTTCTGCAGCTCGAATGGATTTTCCTTGGGGCGTAGATGATGGTAAAGGATGAAGCAACATGACATGAAGAAGCCGGTGATTTACATCTTTAGTTGATTTTGAGATGTTTACACTTTCTTTAAATTCGATTCCTATAAATATTGTGTGGATCTATTTTACGAACACTCGTTATGAATAAATTATGTTTGAAAGTAGATATGCGTCATAGGAATAAATTTACAAATCACAGTATAAAAAGAAGTTAACGACTTAAATTTTTGATGTCTCTTCAGAAATTTCAGTTTCTGCCTCATCTTTAAAAAAAACATAACTCTTTCATTGCTTGATTTTTTTATACGAAACCAATTGGATTGGATAGCCTAATAAGTTAGATACTGAATAAAATTGGAATCATGTCGATCCAATATCGGTAAAAGGTTATGTCACATAAAGTAAACAGTGCTGGGTGCTGTCTCTATTTTTCAGCTTCTACCATTGTTTTCAAAAATTCATAACTCACTCGTTACTTGGAATTTTTGGATGAAACCAATTGGATTTGATAATGTCATGGATTAGATACTGAATAAATTCGAAATCATGTGGTTTTGACGTCGGTGGAATTTTATATGCCATTTTAAGTGAAATGCACCGGTTTACCTTTCAACCGGGTCGCTGCTGAGTTTTGAAAAATATTTTAATACCCCATATGGTGTCAACGGAAGCTAATTTTTGAATATGTCATATTATAAGGATTTTACTACCTTACATTAAAATTTGTTGAAGTTTCAAGGTCGATAGCTATGAAAACAAATTTATTTTGACAATTACTGTTTGAGACAAAAACTGGAACAGCAACATTACTTTTAAGTTTTGTCAAAATTTCACGTCAATAGTCGTTACATGCATGGAACCTATTCTAAAAATATTTTTGAAATTATTTTCTTTTAGAATTGGATTATTTTTTTTAAAAAATTCTTTAATTAAATTCTAAAATTTAATATTTATACCTTCTACTAAAAATATATAGAACTAACTTTACGGCTAAAATATAATGGTTTGAGTGACGTTTCCGTCCATACAGGTCGGGACGTTACAGATTTTACAAGCCGCTCACTGTGTGAAGGGGCCCACCTGTATTTAAAAAAAATTATTGTGGGACCCACCTTGTGTATTCCTTGGCAGGGGCCTGTGAACCAGGCCCCTATAACTGTAGCTTAACTCGGGGATATTTCACTCACTACTCTACTTATATTTCAAATTTCAAGATCACTTTTTAAAATTTTTTATACTGAAATTATTGACATTTTAAAAGTAAAAAGAAAAGAGTAAACTACACAACCAAATCCACAATCTATACTCAGTAAATTGAAATTTAAAATTTGCCCCAAAATCTTTCCTTTCTCAGAACTCCTAGTTTCATTCACGATTATTCTCCATTTGCTTTAAAATTTTGATAGAATGTTTCTTTGCTTAGTTTTCACGTTGCTATCAAAATATCAAAATTCGCAGGGCAGGGATCAAATATCTGTGACAGGCAAACAAATTATTTCTTTATTTTGTGCCCTTTGGAATTGTCAAGAATATGACGTGCACTAAGGGCAATATTGTAAGCGGTGCAATTAGGATCGAATCGGTGTGGCGCAATATTGTACATGGTGGTTTTAGGATCTCTCAACATTGCTCCTTTTTTCCTCCCGTTATTATCTTTTTCCCTTTCCCCACTTTAAACTATTCCTCACCTTTTGACCATATGTATAGGGGGAAAAAATGAAAAATTTGATGTCAATGTATGAATACAAGCGACATCATCATTTCTTTCCAATTATTTAAATAATTAATATGGGATTAAACTTAAGTTCTTGATAGTCTAGGCATGTTTCGGTTGATGTGTTTCTCTGTTGATCTATCACTGGTGCCAAATTTGAACTTATTTGTGTTATCACTATGTACTTTTTTTATTAGTTGTGTAAGAGTTGCATCTTGTTACCATGTGTGGGGTGTGGACACTCCCTATGCACAAAAATTATGTACAATTAAACTTTTGATTTTCACTTAGGATATGAACCCACATAGGCCCTAGTAATGCCAGGAGGCCAGCCGACCCCTTGTGATGGCCCTGATAAAGGGGTTTAACCCTGGGGATATTTCACCTACTACTCTATTTATATTTCAAATTCCAAGATCACTTTTTAAAATTTTTTATACTAAAATTGACATTATAAAAGTAAAAAGAAAAGAGTAAACTACACAATCTATACTCAGTAAATTAAAATTTAAAATTGGCCCCAAAATCTTTCCTTTCTCAAAATCCCTAAATTCATTCACGATTCTTCTCCATTTCTTCTCCATTTCCTTTCTTATCACTCAAATTTGTCTTCCATAGTAATGTGTTCAAAACCTTAATCCCTAAAATGCACGTTCAACCTCATTCTACTTTGTTGTGCACCGTTGCTTTAGGAACATAGAATCGATAAATCCATGTTCTGCAAACAAATATTGGACATGCCCATCGGCTCACAACTTGGCCCTTTTTTTGTTCATACTGATACTCACTCCTCAAACATCTTTGTTGTAAATCCTCCTCACATTTTGCTTTTCAAAGTTCATATTTCACATTCAAAAGTCATAGTCTTCAAGATTGGACTCCAGAGTTTTCCTCAAAGCTATCATCTTTGAAGAAAATTTTTGTTATCTACTATGAATTGCAACATTGTACACCATGCGTTGTATTTTTTGCAAATTGTCAAATGTATCTTATCATGAGATGTTTAGTACATGAGTTACCTTTTACATGTGCTTGATTTAGCAAGTTTCCGTTTTACGCTTTTTTCTGAGCACCAGATACTGATGTATTTTTGCATTTTCATACGTTTATGTGACCATATTTTGAATATTGTATGTATCACACTAGCGTGTTAAGTACCATTTTAATTCATCATTATTCTGGTACTCTGTCAAATATATCTTTCAGGAAACGTATAGTAGACGTGTTATATTTTATAAGCATGTGATCTAATGCTATAGTGTTCTATACACACTCATTTTTTTCTTAAACAAAAAAAAAAAAAAAAAAAAAAAAAAAAAAAACATACTTCCAATGGCTTGAGATTGGCTTTCCATGCTATTCATTTGGCTGCAAAAGATCAAGAAGCATACAATGGAAAACTACTCTCTAACCCAAGCCCTAGAACCGTCCTCTTTTTTGTGGTCGAGATCATGAGGAGAAAAGGGGGCAACTTATATATATAGTATTCAATGGGTCAATACTATATCAATTGGGTTGAAGTAGGGCCTTCAAATGTTTTAATAAAAAAAAAAAAGCCCATCCCATTATGGGCTCAAAAATGACCAATAAGATGCTAGTCTATCAAGAATAAATATAACAATCTCCCACTTGGACAACATTTCATTTAATCATTACATAAACGCAAACAAACATCTCGAAACCCAAAAGACCTTGTTCAAAATGTGCTCACCAATTCAAGCCAGTGAATGAAATACCGACAGGATATATATCACATGACCAATACTCGAAATCACGTAACATAGGCCAATTGAGATGTAAAAGC